CTCTTGGCCGCCCTGTGCCCTGGACGATGCCAGTCGCGAGGCGGCTGTTGTGGAATGGCAGCTTTTTGTTACTCCAAATTGATTTCTCTGCTAAGCAGCACTTTCAGGAAAATGACGTGTGAATGGGTGGCGTGTGTGTGTGTGTGTGTGTGTGTGTGTGTGTGTGTGTGTGTGTGTTGTGTGTTGTGTGTAAAAAAGTAAATGCAGGCACTTCAGCCCTCTCTCTAGTAGTTAGCACTTTGGAAAGGTCGGTGCAGCCTTTCGATTTTCAAACACTTCCTGTGTTGGCAGCACCTTTCTAGAAGTTAAGCTTTTGTCCTACTTAGGCTTTCTTGGAGGGTTTTTGTTTTGCTCTTGTTTTCTTAAAAAAAAAAAAAAAAAAAAAACACTTCCCCCTTTCCACTCTCAATGCCATTTTCTAAAAGAAATGATGCATAACTTGAGTAAGGGAGATAACTCTGAATATTTCTTCTTGTGATAAAGTAAACTAATGACGGTATTTAGCTTGATTACTTCAGTCTTTATATTATGTGTCTTAAAACATGCATTCCATGTATAGTGTCTTGAAGCTTCCTAGTTTTATAAACGTCACTGTCTGCATATTTAAAGGGAAGGGAAGCTTTCCTAACACTACGATTCTGTGGCCCTTGCCTGTTTCTGGTTAGATACTTTCTTGCCAAAAAGTATTCCTCTTTAGTTTCTTTTTAAATGCATTGATGTTTCAAAGTACATAATCTATGCTGTACTTATTGTTGCCATATGTGTGTGTATATATGTATAGAGCATATAGTAAATATAGTAAGCATATAGTAAATATACAGTTGTTTTTGTTTCGGTTATTTGAGACAGTATCCTGTAGCCCGGCCTGGAACTCATGATCCTCCTGCTTCTCTCTAAGTGCTGGGATGACAGGCATGCACCACATACCTGACTCTATTTAAGTATATTACTTTGTGAAATTCTCAAACTTTCTCTTGTTCTCTTATTGTGGAGCAACAGAACTTTCTTTATTGTTACTGAGAAAAATGAAAAATTGTTTTCTACTTAAAAATATTTAGCTAAAGTATACATTGGTATCTTTGCACTTACAGTTTTGAGTTGAATTGTGTGAAAACAGCTTTTGAAATAGGTAAAATGACAGAGATAGCAATCATCTGTTACTGTCAAGATTAAAGTGAATAATTGAGAGTTTCTCACATTTCAATGTATAATTCCGATCATGACCACTTTTTTTGTGAGTGGGTATTCCTTAATAAAATTTCCTTTTTAAGTATATTGAGAAGATAAATGTTGTGAAATAGATATGGCTACAGTTTATCAGTTTATAAATGTATTCATCACTTGAATTCAGACTTAAGCCTTTCAAATGCATTTTCTGAGTTTGCTTGCTTTCTTGTCTGTAGAGATACACTGTATCAAAAGATACTGCCTTAGCCAGGCTTGGTGGCCCTGGCCTGTGCCTGAGTTTAGGAGGCAGAGACAGCCTGCACCTTGTCTCACAGCCCAAGGCAAGCAGAAGTTTTGCCTTTACAAAGCTGCCTTACTAAATGTTGAATTATGGATTTGTTAATATTAATTTTATAGCAATATTCTTTTTAAACTAGGAAACAGAATTACCTGGAGGTCCAAAATTAATAAAATTCTCGAGACTTTTAATATAAATATATTCCCTTTTTATTATCTTTTTGCTTCCTATATATTACATTGTAGAATTTTGAAAACATGTTGCATCTGAAAAAAATTTTTTTTCCTACCAGTAGTTTCCAGTTACAACTTTATAACATTTTACAGCATCAGGAAATGAGTATATAAAATGAAGTGTTATTAATAACATGTTTGCTTTAGGATTATTTCCAGAATTATCAATGTTTTTGAGCAAGTAATGTTAACATTCTAGTGACTTTTAATGTGGACCCTTTGGATGGCTGTTTGAGGCTGGGGTAGGGGTGAACAGTGGTGATGTTCAAGACTTTGTTCTTTCCTCAGGCGGCAGATGAGCCTGCCTACCTGACAGTGGGAACTGATGTCAGTGCCAAGTACCGAGGGGCCTTCTGTGAGGCAAAGATCAAGACCGTGAAGAGGCTGGTGAAAGTCAAGGTATAGTGCTTGCAGATTCTAAGACAACCAAGGCCTTTGTTGTTTGTCTCCCAGAAAGTAAGCAGATTTATTTGGTGTGCTGCAAGTGACACAAGGCTGGGCAATAACAAGAGTCACTCCTGTCATGCAACAGTTTAAGGACATTGAAGAGATTACAAAGGGAGAGATTGCACTTTATCAGTCTGTTGAATCAGTGCTATACGCAAGCACCATTATAGACTAAACTTGCAAGTATATTAAAAATTGAAAAATAAAGAACTCAAACTGAGAAATGATTGCAGAATATCAAATACAAAGGTGTGATATTTGGGTTATTTGGATTGTTCCTGTTCATGGAAGTGTACTTCTGCTATAATTTGGTCTCTCTCTTAATCAGATAGAAACAGTTTTAGTGATTAGGGACAACAATGCGGTAAAATTATGTTTTCAAGATAACATTAAAAATGATTCTAGGAGTTGAGGGTGTGTGTATGTGTGTGTGTCTGTCTGCGGCTTTTCAGACAATTTCTGATTATCCCGTCTTTGCCTCCCGAGTGCTGATGAGCCACTACTATGCCTGACCAAGAGCTTGACTTTTAAGACCAGACAAAAAAAGTTAATGTACTCCCGTATACTATTTCGAAATAATAGAAGGAAATGTAGAGGACAGGTGGATAAATACCTACAACTTCAGAAGTCTGGTAACATAGTTTGTTTTCTGTAGAAAATTTTCCTTTGTTTAGTTTCGGTTTTTTTTTTTTTTTTTTTTTTTTTTTTTACTTTTTTGAGGTGGGGTCCATGTAGCCTGAAATGACCTCAAATTCACTAAGTACCTGAGAATGACTTTGAACTTGATTCTCTTGCTTCCACCCCCAAGAATTAGATACATAAGTCACCACGCCTGGTTTTTATGATGCTGAGGATAGAACTCATGGCCTCATTCATGCCAAGCTACCTTTACCACCCGAGCCACATCCCTAGTCTGTTGTTCTGAACACCCTTGTAATGTAAATATAAGAATATCTTTGTGTATAGAAACATTTTTAACATTATAGAGCCATAAAATATAATCTAAGTTCTTGCTAACACTCCAAATATTTTTTTTTAACATTTATTTATTATGCATACAGTGTTCTGCCTACAGGCCAGAACTATGTTCACCAAATCTCATTAAATATAGATGTGAACCACCATGTCGTTGCTGGGATTTGAACTCAGGATCTCTGGAAGAGCAACCGGGAGCTCTTAACCTCCGAGCTATCTCTCCTGCCCCCAAATATTTTTTATAGACTCCCATATTTTGTTGTTAACTGTCATGGCATTATTGTTAATATTATTGTTTCAGGTATGACAGACAGCTTGTTAAATACAATGAAAAGGAGGAGACATCTTAGAGTTTCTACTCCTGATACTCACAGTAATGCTTCATCTCTTGTGGCTACTCAGAGTTTGTTAAATTGTGTGAGTGAATGTGCTAGAACATTGATTCTCAGTTTGTACTTCCCAGATCAGTAGCATATTAGCCCCTCGTAGGAACTTGCTTGAGATGGAGGTTCTCAGGACTGTATCTCCAAGCTTCCTAGTGAAAACATCTGCGAGTGGTTTTTACCAAGCTGGACTTTCAAATACAATTAAGGGTTAGGAGTCCTTGGTCTCAGGGAATTCCACTCATGCAGTCAGCAGACCCAGCTGTAGATCTGCTAGTGATACTTAATTGCTAGGATGCCCTTTGATACCCATTTCTTCTAGCCTGTTAACTGTGTAACCCATAAAATTGGACCACGGAATATTTGAGAATCTTTGACAGTTTTAACCTTTAAAGAATTATTGTGGCTCTCTGTTGTTTATCTAGAATAATACAGTGATTGTTTTAGGAAGGCTCATACACTTATTACACAGCATGCTTGTTACTTGGGGAATTGCTCTGCTGTGACGTTTCCCTGTACATTTGGTAGACGTGAGGAGCAAGAACATTGGAAAGGGATGCTTGTTGGTAACTGAATTACTTCTAGTTCTCATAAGAGGTTTGTTTGTTTGTTTGCTTTTTGAGACATGTCCTGGAACTCACTATGTAGATCAGGCTGGCCTCAAACTCATAGAGATTTGCCTGCCCCTCTAGGCTTCCCCGTGCTGTGATTAAAGGCGTGCAACACCTGGCACAGCCTCATAAGGCTTAAGGATCATGAGAACTATGTTTTTAAATAGCCAATAAAAACTGAAGGGTTTTAAAAATGTTTTGTGACAATCAAAACCTTTTATGACTTGATAAAAATGCACTAGAAGCAGTTTTACATTTTAATAGTATCATTGGATTATAAATCTATAGTTTGTTCATTTGGCAAGCAGTTATTAAGTGGCTGTAATATGCACTGAAAACTTGCTAACTACAGGGGGAATAGTAATGAAAGAGGGCTCCAGCCCTCAAGGAGCTCATAGTTAATGAGAAAGAAAATAAACATAAATACAAAACACTGTAATAATTGTTACAACAGAGTTAACCACAGGGTATTAAGGAGGCATTTGCAGTGTTACTACAGAGGCATTGTTTAGAAAGTAACTTTCAGTTTGTTTTGTTTTCCAGGTATTGCTGAAACAGGATAACACAACACAATTGGTGCAAGATGACCAAGTAAAGGGTCCTTTAAGAGTACGTATGTCGAACAGTTCAGGATCAAAAATAGTGAACCACAGGCAGATGCCATAATTTATCAAACATGTCATTGTACATACTTACATTTTATGTGTGTTTAATTAGAAAGCAAAATACAAATGATACAATAGTGTAAATTATAGTGCATTGATTGTATTTTTTAAGAATATCAAACATAGTTGGATAACTTGTCTTTTGTTTTAGTTTTTTAGTTGGTCTCATAGCCCAGGCTGTCCTAACACTCTGTAGCACAGACCTCTGCCTCCTGAGTGCTGGGATTACAGGTGTAAACCGCTGTGCTTGTCTGACAGAGTAGTTTCATACATATTAGGATGTGCTTTCATTTGCCTTTTGGTTTGAGTTCATGGACTAAGTACATACATACATACACATGCATATATAGCTTGTTTGTTTGTTTTGAGACAGGATCTCACTGTGTATCCCTGGCTAGTCTGGTGCTCAGTGTGTAGACCAGGCTGGACTTGAACTCACAGAGATCTACCTGTGGGGGTGTGCTCCCCCCCCCCCCTGCCTCCCCAGACAGGGTTTCTCTATGTAGCTTTGGAGCCTGTCCTGGAACTCGAGCTATAGACCAGGCTGGCCTCGAACTCACTGAGATCCTCCTGCCTCTGCCTCCTGAGTGCTGGGATTAAAGACTTGCACCAACACCACCCAGCTAAACTTTTCTTCTGATTTATCAGATAAACTATATTTGTTTTATTATTCACTTTAATGAATAGCTATTTTTTTTCTATCCATTTCCGACTCTTTGTTTATGTAGTAAGTCCTTGTTATGTCAAAGTACCATTTTGGTTAATATCTGATACCCAGAGGTCTGGAAGCCTAAAGAAGAATAACTGGTCCATTCCTCTCCATCCAGCTGAACCTTTATCTAAAAGGTTTCTAAGATAGAAGTGCTGAATTCCATACTCAATATTTTGGAAAAAGGAAACAAATTATTTTTGTTGTGTTATGGTTTGACATTTGTTATATTTAAACTTACTGGAGATAATACAATATGGTGAACAAACTCTGAAATAAAATTTTTAGTCAGAATTTGAATCCTAGACCCCGCAAATTGTCTTTTCTGATTGTAAAATATAAGCATCAAGTCCCTTACTTATGCCAGAGAACGTTGGGGCTCAGGTTACATAATGAAGATATGAGCATCCTAACTGATAATTCTTCCCTAGTCTAGCTTATGCATTCATCAAAGTTTCTTACACATGTAGTTGGTGGGGGTGGTTTGGTCTGTGTGTTTAAATCTTGTAAGAAGATTCCGGTTTTGTGTTTTAGGTCGGAGCTATTGTTGAAACACGGACATCTGATGGATCCTTCCAGGAAGCTATTATCAGCAAGTTGACAGATGCTAGCTGGTATACCGTGGGTATGTAGTACACATAGCTTTGATCGGAGGCGTATCTACCTCTACCTTATAAATACACTGGTGTGTGTGTTGGCAGAGAATATGCAGTCTCTCCTGTGGACTTACTGCATGTAGCTAGCTAAAATTGTAGTGATGTTCAGCTGGGAGCAAAAGCAGGTATTGTTTTTATCTTTTATCTAAGAGTACTTCTGTTGTGGTTTACTTGGACATTTTGTCTTCAAGAAAGTCCAGTACTGTTTTCCTTTCCTGAGACAGTATTATAATGTTATCCCTATAATTGCAGTTAACGTTAAACAGGAGTCACTGCCCCTTGCTGCACTAAGAATAATGTAGGTGTGAGAGCAGAATATAAAGATGGAACAAGTTTTGCCACAACAGATTCAAGCCTAGGTGCTTGTAGCTTCATGCTTGATGATCTATCTGTATGGTGGATTCTCCTATTAGGAAGTTTCAGGAATGACATATATACTGTTAATGTGAGTTCATTCTTAACACTCTTGTGTGTAAACTTGTGCTGGCTTTAAAACAATGAGTGAGCCAGGAGTGGTGGTTAATACCTTTATTCCCAGTAATCAGAGGCTAAGGCGGGTGGGTTTTTATGTGTTCAAGGCCAGCCTGGTACCTAGTGAGTTTCAGTCCAGGCAAGGCTACACTGTGAGATCCTGCCAGTATGATGGTCCATTCCTGTAATCCCAGCACTCAGAGGCAAGAGGCAATTAGATCCGGAGTTGGAGGCAGTCCTAGGCTACATACTGAGTTTGAAGCCAACCTGCCAACCTGGGATACATGAGACTCTGTATCAGAACATAACTAAAATGTTTTAGTAAGAAGCAACAAGTGTCACAACACATGCAAATTAAAACTTAAAAGTTGCACTGAAGTACTGAGGTTATACTGAGTAGACTAGCTGAAGGGATGCTTCAAACGTCTTCTCAGTACTTTGAGACTCAGCACTTCTGTGGGTTGTATCCAAGATGTGTACACAGACACCCATAATCTTGCTGGTTCTTATATATCTATCTTGGTATAGTAATACAGTGATGTGGTTTCCTTGTCTAGTTAGATTTACTTTAGTTTAATTAATTTACTCTTTCCAAGTACTTTTTTCAAAGGTTTTAATCCTTCTTGGACTTCCTAGAAATTGTAGTTCATGTGGTACTGTAATTCTCAAGATATTTTTCTGAGCTAAGTTGTTATTCTTAATAGTTTTCAAAGATTTAAAAACTGCAGTTAAGCCAGGCGTTGGTGACACATGCCTTTTAATCCCAGCACTGGGGTGGTGGAGGGGGGGAAGAGGCAGGGACATTCGGTTCTCTGAGTTCAAGGCCAGCCTGGTCTACAGAGCGAGTTCCCGGACAGGCTCCAAAACAATACAGAGAAACCCTGTCTCAAAAAACCAAAACAAAGAAACCAAAAAAGTGCAATTAATATGGACTGTGAGAGATGAAGTTGATAGAATTGTTATATTAAGCAAGGTATTGGTAAAGGCTAAAAGTTGGTAGGTGCAGAGTTATGAGAGAGTATATGATGTGTATTCAGATACTAACATGTCTTCTGTGGCACTCACTCTCAAGGTTGCATTCATGACCTGTTGTAAGTCTTACCTCTGCGCTGTGGAAGCAGTTCCTGCCCATCTTCACGTCTCCTGCTTTGGCATTGCAGAGTAATTATTGAATTAGGAGTCTGCCCTCTACATGAAGAGTAGTGTGGCATTTCTAGAAAGGAGTTGCTAGTGGGCATTATTTATAGTGCTCTTCTGAGCTGGATCATTAGAGAAGAAAGTGTATATTCTTAAACTTGAGCCACTTAAAATCTAACTTGCAGATTGAGATACCAAAGCATATTGAAGTACATGTATGAATCAAATGGTTCTTTTCTAAAAAGTATAAAATGAGGACCCCAAACCTCTTAAATTCAGTAGGTCTAGGGATGGCAATGCCAGCTTTCTTTTTATTAACACACTGGATGATTCTGGTGCACATAGTACATTTATAGAAAACAAGATATATGGGCCAGTGAGATGCCTTGGTGGGCAAAAGTGGTCCACACCAGCCTGACTACTGAATTGGAATGGTTGTCAGAACTTACATAGTGCAAGAAGAGAACAACTCTTCAAAATACTCTCACTTCCCCATATGTGTTGTGGCATGCGTGCACGCGCACACACACACACACACACACACACACACCCACGCACACACACACACACACACACAAAAATATCATGGGGTTCAGTTCCCAGGGTCCTTGTTGGGAAGCTCACAGCTACCTGTAACTCTACCTGTAGGGGGATTCAGTGCCTCTAGTCTCCATGGATGTCCGTACTTACATGTACATACTCTTCCTCTCCCCCCATGTAATTAAAATATATCTTTAATAAGTAAATCTTAAAAAAAAAGAAAGAACAAAAGAAAGACAGAAAGGCACACCATACATACAGAAACATTTATTTGGGGAAAAACAAAATCATTAGGAGGACCTCAGTTATAATTCACTGATAGAGAGTACGTGTCTACAAGGCCATGACTTTGATTCCCATACTATGAACACAGAAAAAAATATTAAGGAGTTTTGCACTTATATACACAAATGGGATTGCTCTGTCAAGTGTTTAAGGTTTTTTCTTTTTTTTTTTTTCTTTTTTTTTTTTTTTTTGGTTTTTTTGA